AAGAGGATAAATTGGTCGCACTGCAAATTGGTCGCAGTCTAGAGCCCTATATGCAGATGATGTGATCCTGTTCTGCACTAATTTAAACAAATCAATACCATCCATATTAAGTCTCATTAATACATTTAGTACATTTTCGGGTTATAAAATAAATTTTGATAAATCCGAAATATTATTTTTGAATAAAAATGAACGACAAAATCCTCCAATCAACACTCCCTTTCTGCTATCTCAAATTCAAATTCAAATTTTATTTGTCACATACACAGTCATACGCAGTACGATATGCAGTGAAATGTTTAGAAAACTGCTCGTGACCTAAAGAAAAAAAAAGAAAAGGCTATGAATAAGATAGGAAATAAATATGAAAATTAAAAAGGGTAAATTTAACTAGGAAGCAATAAAATAAAATATAAAAATTAAAGTTACAAATGAAATAACTGTACAACAAAACACACAATATAAAGTTTAGAAATATATAAGAATGTATGAAGAAATATAAATATATATATACACAATAACAGCAGCTGTACAAGTGAACATGGGTTTACTTATCTGGGTGTGAAATTAACTCACTCAATTGAAAATATTCTGGCATCCCATTATAATTATAATTCCTTGACGACGTCAGTTACTGCATTTCTAAACAGATGGATGAAACTACCTATATCTTTAATTTGTTGTATTAATATACTAAAAATGTCAATTTTGCCAAAATATCTTTACCTTCTTCAATCAGTACCTCTCTCTCCACCAAACTCTTTCTTCTTAGATTTGCAAAAACTATTCCGAAACTTTATTTGGAACAACAGAAGACCAAGACTCAGAATCTCATTACTATACCTTCCTTATGAAAGAGGGGGTTTACTTATATCTGTACTCAGCCGACAGGAAGACACTAAATAAGCAAACTAAGAACCCCTTTTTAAAAAACACTATAATGATCTAGTTAGAAACACATAACTACTTGGGAGAAATGATCCAACTGTCTCGGTTTACTCCGATATTTGGAAATAACAGCTTTCTTCCTGGTAGGGCGGATACAGGTTTTAAACTTTGGTTTGATCAAGGTATAAGAAAAGTGTCTGATATATTTAGGAATAATACTCTTATGTCTTTTGAACAACTTAGAAGTACTTTTTCTATTCCTGTCAAACATTTTTTTTAAATTTCTTCAATTAAGAACTTTTATCTTAACCACACAAGGTAACAGCTTAGAAATCCCCACCTCCTCCTCTCTAGAGAACACATATAAAGCATCTAAATGGGAGAGGCCGAGTTTCTGCATTGTACAAATTATTTATGGAAAATTCCAAAGAATCAACACAGTCTATTTTAGAGGCAAACGGATATATCTGATGATGAGTGGTATAAATCATGCTCCTTGGCCCAGAGTCAGACAATTAATGTGCAATCTCGACTACTTCAATATAAATGGTTAACAAGACAATATCTTACTCCGTCAAAAATGCATCATTTTAAGTCAAACATCCCAGACTCCTGTATTAAGTGTGGAGTGGACAGGGGCACTTTATTTCACTGTATATGGGAGTGTCCACGTGTGAAAATCTTTTGGGAAAAGGTAATAAATCTGTTGAGTCAAATCATTGGTGATGTGATTCCACTTCATCCTAAAATATGTATTTTAAATATATACCCGAATAATTTTGTACCTGCTGCAAACAATAGAGCTCTGTTAACGATTGGACTTGTGGAAGCCAAGCGCTGTATTGCTATGTGTTGGAAAAATCAAAAAATATGTGGACTATCTAAGTGGCTTAATGGACTGACATCTATACTATCTATGGAGAAAATAACTTATGCATTAAGAAATAAACTGGACAAGTTTGGGCTATATGGTCAAAATTCTACAACTTTCTGGAGAACTGCAGCGTGCACACTGTGGACTTAACGTCCTGAAACTCTAACTTGATTTGTATATCTGTCCTTCCCTTCTGTTATGCTTTGCTTTGTTTTTGTTTCTATTACTATGTTGTTTCTGTTGTTGTTGTGGTTTTGTTTTTATTTATGTATTTATTTATTTATTTTTAATGCTCGCGGTGCACCATGTAAAACCGGTTAAAACCAATAAATAAATGTTAAAAAAAAATATAACAAAGACAGATTTCAGAGCTGCTCTGTTCCCAAGTTTACTGCACGACTGACAGCCTGGAGTTTGAAATCCGCTTCATAACCACGTCTCTTAACAGCTGCCATTTGTGATCCTTATACGCACACAATTCGGTAGTATTGCGTTGAAGCACAGTACGTATCACTCTGTAATGCTCCGTAAATCCATCAAGCGGTGCAGCTTCGTAGCTACCAAAGTCGTACTACAACATTTTTGACAGATTGCTGAGCACAGTGTACATAAAATCGGTTCACGGTCAGTAAGCACAACCAGAATTCATACATAAGGTGCACTGTCGATTTTTGAGAAAAAGAAAGGAGTCTAGGCCGTGCAGCCCCTGTGCGATGTGAATGCAACATTACAGACAATCCCCACTGTGGTCATCAATGTAACAAACCAACTGATCTACCCCACAACAGCAGTGATCAGTGAGTTTTTTGGCAACAAAATGAGCACCCACAAGGAGCAGTACCCTCCATGGAGAAGGAAACTAGAGGCCAAGGTCAAGGCAGCATAGAGGGAAGTATCGGAGCTCCAGAAAGGTGTGTTAAAGGAAGGGATGTCTAAGAAGTACAGCAAGCTGGTCATACCTGATCATCAAAGACTCACAGCCTTGGCTAGCAGCTTGAAGAGGTACACCAGAGAGATCGAAGCCATGAAAATCAAATCATCTGAGGTGTGAGGTGCTGGAGATGGAGCAATATTGGAAGAGTATACAGCAGAAGGACACAACCCATGACAGCAATGCTCAGTGTTCAGTGGCTCTAAGAGCGGACCACAGCAGCCTCTCTGAACGGGATCCATTAAGCATCACAGCAGCAGACATCCATGAAAGAGTCTCAAGCATGAAGCGTTGGGCAGCACCAGGCCCTGACATCATCCACGCCTACTGGCTAAAGAGCTCATATATACAAAATCCCTACTAATGACAGCAGGGACCTGCAATTTTCATTATTATTATAAATAATTATTATTAAGATGCAAATCGTTGTTTTAGACTGAGACTCAGAATCATCAAACTGATCCAGGTTTACATGGAAACTGTGACACTGATCATCTCTGTTATTCTGTGATATCATTTTTTAATTTGGTTACAGAAAAAATAATCTGGCTGAATAAAAAACAAGATTTTAGGTTTAAACATCTGAAGTAGGTCTAAAATCGAAAAGTCGTGACATGGTGAGGGCTCAACAAGTGCTGAAAAAATATTTATTTGGAGGGCTGTAACTGGTGTCTCAACATATGTGACTACTGTGTGCCTGTCCATCTTCCACATGTATGCAATGAGCCTACCTGTGGACTGTGTGGCAGGGAACTGAACTGTGCCCTGCAGTGCTGGCTGAGCCCCTGAGCTTCTTCCTGAGCCTTGAGCTGCTCTGCCCATGAAAGGGAGACCAGAGAGGTCAGGAGGAGACGAGTCTTCAGGCTCCAGTCTGCTGGATACTGGGTGCACACAGGAGCTGCAGTGGGAGCACTGGCTTGGGGGCTCTAGAAGGACAGAGGGGAATCCTTTGAATACACGGTTATACACTGCACAACAGAAAACCTGGGGAAAAGTGACAATTCTCACAGATATGTCAGTCAGCATTTAAAAAAATACAGAAAAATCCCCACCTTTAGCAGGGGGCTTTTAATATGCTCCGGTTCTTCTTCAATCAACACATCACTCTCAGACAGAGATCCAGATTTCTGCAGCAGGACACAGACAGGAAAGGTAAGAGGGGGTCCTATAGTGTCTCCCTTCATGTTTACATCTCTACCACATAAACACAGGAGCTTTCTGATGATACGGGCAGTGCAAAGGACCGAGACCAACCTGGCTGGAAGCTTGTCGGTACTCCTGTTTTTGTGCCTCATCGAGCCTGAAACTGAGAGCCAGATCTAGCGCGCCTTCTCTCTTCGATGATTCTTCATCTCTCTCATTGTTTGTGATCCCGGAGCTATCAGAGTTTTCGGGGTTACAGCTGGCGTCGCTGAAAGTCAGACGTTTCTTCTTAGGACTGTAAGTGTTTTCTATTTTTGCGAACGGGTTCCTGCGTTTTATTCCAACCCCGGAATGGTTCTGGGCGCCGGAGAGCGGTTCCGGGGAGAAAGTCCGCACGCACGTCGGAGATGAGCCGCTTTGTTCGGGGCGGTCTGTCGACCCGGCACCGGTGTCGCTTCGGGCTCTTTTGCACCTCATTCGCAAAATTTCCGCTGGTCGCTTGAAGCTGGGTGAGTATCCAAAGTGTTCCGACATCCTGTGGAGATGCAGTTTGCCCCAAACAATCCGCTTTTAGCGCTGTTTCCTTTAGAAAGCGCAGGACCCGCGGCAGTTTTTGTTTTGCACTTTCTGCGCTGTAAAAATTTGGCGCGCAGCGTGCTGACGTAAAGAGTCCCCGCGTGTTGATGGCTGTGAAAAGGAGCTAAACGGACGTCATTTGCTTACGTTTGTTTTTGTGACGCACGTTAAAAATAAATACACAATAATCTACAGTGTTAAATGCAATTATTGTATCTGTTGGAGCCTTTACTCATCGGGAACTTTGGACGTTATGGTACGGCAGGATGTGACGTCGTGTCGGGTTTTACTACATTTGAATTGTATGATTTAAATTAATAATTTAATAATAATCAGAGACGTATACACAAAGAGATGTTGGAACAGTTTGAAAACTTGAGGGTTTGTGGAAAGACCTTTTCAGAAAAACACAAGGCAAAGCCTTGACTTCCAGCTTTGACTTATTCTCTTCCTATATCAGCGCTTATGTGGCAATATTGTCTGAGTGGCGACGCCTATCGTCCAGGAGAATACTGCAGCGGCTTCCTGTGCCTTACCGGCGGATATACAGTGACGAGTACCTGGAACTTAGAGGGGATTTGAGACAAATTTAACGTCGCCAGCTTCGCACAGATCTGCAAATGTAAGCTGCTTTCAAGTTCCAGTGTAAAACTGGGACATTTGGGCTTCCATTGTATACCTGCATTTTGTTTTCAGATGAAGTAGTCTTTTCTTTCTAAAAAACAAACAAACTCGAAAGCGTTATTTATCATTGCAGACACTATACAGTAGCCTGTAAAGGTTAGTATATCGTTTAAATAATCTGTTGTTACATGCTGAACGCTCTTCTGTGGGGAAAAGCCAACCAGTGCTCAGCTGCAGATAGAGGGAACAACATGGTTGTATCATCCTCTCGAGTGAGTATAGTTTTCCTTTTCAAGATCAGCTCTATAAATTCGCTATAGGCTCCTCTTGTTCATGTGTATCTTTTATCAGTTTATTTATTTGTTTCTTTTTGTGTCATTTCAGTTATTACATTATGTGTGGTATAGTATGACAATGTCTAAGGCAGGACAGGCAAGAGGAGAAATAAAAGGGGGAAGGAGGGAAGAAATAAGGGAAAATATAATAAAAGGATAGTGGCACGAGCCGAGAACAGGGTCCCAGGGCTCCAGGCGCCCAAGAATTGGCCAGCACCTGAGCCAGAGCCCCCTAACAAGGAAGAGGTCCAAGCCATCCCATACCAGCAAGGGAGCGGCTCAACAACCACACCAGAACATCCAGCCACGTGCCGTTGATCCCTCCCTGGGATGCTGCCCCTCCCTACATCCCAGGGAGGGGCAGCATCGTCCAGCGGAAAGTGGTAGGAAGAGGGAACCACTCCCTCCATGACCATTTCCCAAAGGGGCCAAGGCTCTGCAAGCCCCAGGTCCGGTCATGAGCTTACACTGAATTTTTGAGCCAGTATTTTGTACTGGTCTTACTGAAGTGCTCTTACTGAACCATTGCTAATAAATTGCTCCACACTGCAGTTTTGACATCACAATAATTTGCCTCGCTTAGTAAATCTGTCCCATGGCATATAAAATTAAATACATCTTATTTTCTTATATTTTATGGTTGTGGTCCAGTTTAACCCGTTTCCTCCTTCCTGGTTAGAATTTCAAAATAGGCCAGGGGTCAAAAAGAGGAACACCAATGCCCTGTTCCACACTAATATAATCAGTATTTTCACAATCGAGGTAAACAAGGCAAACAAGCTAGAAAACGTGGTCCCAATATGATAGAGAAGCTTAAACATGACTAGAGTTTGCTTATGAAGAAATCAATGGCATTAACAAAAGAAAAAAACAAGCTCTTGAGAAAATATTCAAAAACAGCAAAGTGATATCAGTAACAGATTATCTGAAGCGGAGTGCTACAAAAAAGGATGGCGTCTGCATCTGTACGCTGAGAATGAACAAGAGAACAGGACATGAGACAGAAAGTATCCTGATTCTGTCAGAAAGCTGCTACCGAGCTCAGACAGAAGGCAATGATTGATGTGACACACACGCTGGGCAGACGAGCCATGTGCAATCATCGTCCTCTGCTCTGTGAGAAACATCTGAAAGAGAGCAAACAACAGTTCCTTCCTGAAAGAGAAGAAGCTTCATTTTGGTGAGAACGAGAGTGGTCAGAGCAGCGCTGTGGAAACAGCTTACATCCAAAGATTCTACTCTGTCTATAATCACGTTTTGGTTGATTTCAGCAGAGCTTGAACTGAATATAAATGAGGCAGACATTTTTCCTGCTATTTTGAAAGACCACAACATTTTGACACTGACACCAAATATCAGTAAGTGGAACAATAGAAGGGGTTAGGCTCAGACTAGCTCACTTCTGAAGAGTGAACAGCCCATATCAGATATCAAGGATGTTATAGGAAAGTCCTGGAATTTGGCCTCAAAAAGTAATGTATGTGGAAAATACTGGGAATTTCTAAGGTTTTAAATGAGAAAGATAGCCACTGCATATGGCAAAAAAACAAGCACATAAAATAGCTCAAAAATAATCATGTTTCTGCTGTCAATTTACCAATTAAATGATTAGCTGCTCTCTTTAATTGAAGCGATCTGTAAAAGAAGAACTGTCCCCTTCATTGAAGAAAGGACATCTCCCTTTAATTCCCCAAACCAACAAAGATCCTTTATTTATTGATAACTGGAGACCAATTACACTCAACAATGATTATAAAATGACAATTTTCATAGTAGCAAAGTGTTGAAACACTGATCCAAATAAAAGAATTCAGGAATCCCACTGTGGATTCATGAGTGGCATTCATATCTCAATAATATTCACCTGTTCTTGGAGCTAACTACAAATAATGGCTTGTTGGCAGTCACCTGATTTTATTCTTGATTCTCTACAGTTCTCCACAATTTTATCTTTAACCCTAAATTTTTAAAAATTTGATAACTTTTTTTATCAAAGCAATCAAGACATCATCGGTGAAACTGCCATCACTCAGATTAAGAGGGGAATTTCGTTATGGCCATCCCATCTCTTCTTAGCGGTAAGCCAAATTCTGAACCTTTCAGTAATCTACCATAAGTTTAGTTGCATTATCTTTAAATATACACAAGTCACTGTCTCTGGGGTGACTGTAGCTCAGGAGGTAGAGTGGGTCACTTTAGTGGTTTGATCCCTGTCTGCATAAATAACCCCAAGCTGCTCTCTGATGCATCCATTTGAGTACGAATGTGTGTGACTGTTAGATAAAAAGCACATAAGTATAAGAAAAAAGTGATTGTATTAATGGCAAATGGACTGATATGAATGGTGCTTTTCTACTCTCTCAAACACAATAATAATAATGTGTACGTTGCTCAGGGGTACCTCAAGGGAGCCGTTCAGTGGATTCAAACCCCCGACCTTCCGATCATGGGGCAACCACTCTACCTACTTAGCTATCCCTGCCCCTCAATGTGTCACAATGACACAAATGAAATCTCAAAGTCTGATCTGTTATTAACATCAGGCTTAAACCTTAATTTAAATAATTTTGACATTCTTGCTTTAAAAGACATTGCTGATACAGAAATATCCCAGTTAAAAATATTGTTAAATATTTGGGAGTTTTGATCCCAGTGGAGGACAAAAGCTTGATGGATGATAACATAGACCTGGTGATTTGATATGTTCAAATGAAATGTAGCTCCTAGCTGGCTAAAGACTTCCTCTTTATGTGTAAGTGCTGTTAAGCGAAGAAATAAGCTGCACAACATTTTACCCTGCATTTAATCAGATTATCACAATTATTGGTCCAGTTGCTGCATCCGCACAGAGGATGGCTACACGGATTTCTTCACCATTGAGACCGGTGTGAGGCAAGGGGGTATCCTCTCTCCCTTCCTCATCCTTCTTGCCATTGACTTTGTTATGCAGAGTGCCATGGACCAAGATGGCTTTGGGATACCTTGGCATCCACCAACATGCCTCAAGGACCTCGACTTTGCAGACAACATCGCTTTGTTGGCTGAAGTCTGGAAAAACATGACTACTATGACATCATGCTTGGAGCAAGAGGCAGCCAAAGTGAGCTTATGGATCAGTGGAAACAAAACCAAGGTCATGAGGACAGGTTACGTGACGAAACAGGACCCCATTACGGTAGGACTGCAACCACTGGAGGAGGTGAATCAATTCACCTACCTGGGCAGCATCCTGGCAAGTGATGGAGATGCTGAGCATGACGTTGTGTGTCGAATTGTTAAAGCAGGTGCGGTCTTTCAGCAGCTCCGGCCAATCTGGTCGACCCCAAAGATCGTGGTCAACTCCATCGTTATACCTACTGCAATCTACACTTGTGAGACGTGGAAAACATCAGCCAGAATTGCAAAAAGACTCCATGTGGCCCAGCAGCAATGGCTAAGACGTATTCTGGGGGTCTCCTACCGGGACCATGTCACCAACGAATAAGTACACCATCGAACTGCCACACGTCCCCTCCAGGACATTGTGACTGAGTGGCGGGTGCGGTTTGGAGGTCATGTTCTACGTCAACCCCCACATCAACTGCCCAAGATTGCCATCACATGGAACCCACCCCATGGAAGACGCAAACCAGGCCGCCCCCATACAACATGGCAGAGGACCTTCATCGATGACTTATGCACCATAGACATTGCATGGGATGAGGCCGAAGCAGCCGATCGAGTAGGTTGGTGGACACTTGCCGCCCAATGCGCTGAACAGCACAGGAGGACCTAAGTCCAAGTAAGTAAAGGTCTCCAAAGAGGAGATCCCATACTAAACATATTAATATATAGAAAAAGATCTATTTAAAAATATTTTTTAAAGCTTAAAAGAGTATGAATATGTAAGATTTCCATGGGAGTGCAGAGGATCCTCTTTCACAGCATATTTTATATCTAAAGAGACTTTTAATAGAACATATTTTAAATGTCCAGTACATGAAAATAAGATGCCAATCCAGCAGTATTAGTTTGTCCCACTGTTGGCAGTAAAACAGAACTGTTAGTTCACCCCTGACAATAAACCACAGGACTATCACACTTTCACTCAGGCATCACCAGAGTACACAGACCAGAGTTTTCCTCAGTACTTTCATTTTGATTCGCCCATGGTTATTATTCCAAAAGGAAACTATACCAAGTTCATACTCACACTTGTATAATAAATCCCTGAACTCAACAGGCTTTAAGAGCAACAGATGTTAACTAGTTACTTAAAAAAAAGTCAACTTCTAATGTAAAGTTTGACTAATACTAAGGGTTTACTGTTTTTGTTCAATGTGTTATTCATTATATTGTATTAAAAGTAGACAAATGCGTGTCTAAGAGTGATTCTTTTTTTGTTCAGTCACAAGGCATTAATGCAGAAACCAGCGCAGTGCTTCAGATGGATGTCAGAGCCTGAAGATTTGATATATGCTGTTAAGGAATATTGAACACATTTAAGGTATTTCTGAAAATCGTGATATAAATAAATGTTTAAGTGGATCTGTAGTTATTTAGATTCAGGAGTCTCCTGTATTTGTAGTTGGTATCTGTGGCAGTTCCCTCTGAACTCAGATGTTTAATTTGAGATGGAGGGTTAGTTAGAATCTCTAAAACACTAATGCGCTTATATTATCATTGTATTTGACAACACGTGGACCCAAATAAATCAAAGGGATATATTTACATTGATTTATATATTAAAACTGGCCTCTGGAGATGAAAGAAGGGCTGAACAGGTGAAATGCAGGGAGTTAAGTAGGTAGGTGTTTGGTCATGAAGCATGATGAAAGTGTCAGTGGCGTTTAGGTTGGGTCATCAGAATCAGAATCAGAATGGGGTTTATTGCCAGATGTTGAGGTTTACAACATTAGGAAATTGCTGCGGTGCTTCAGTGCAAACAATAAGAATTAAAGTGCTATGTAGAAAGAAAGATATGTGCATGAGATATACATGAGATATATACATGAGAATAAGAATTATGAGTGCTACGTAGAAAGATATATATATGAGTGCAGGTGGTGATCAGTGCCAAACATGAAATGATGCAGTGACACAGCGTAGGGTCATGTGTTAGTGGTGGGGACAGTCATGTGGTTATTGTTCATGTGTCCAACAGCAGAGGGGAAGAAACTGTTCTTATGGCGAGAGGTTCTGGTGCGAATGGACCGGAGCCTCCTGCCTGAGGGGAGCAGGTCAAACAGACTGTGTCCAGGGTGAGAAGGGTCAGCTGAGATCCGAGCTGCACGCCGCAGTGTCCTGGAGGTGTACAGGTCCTGCAGAGATGGGAGTCTGCAGCCAATCACCTTCTCAGCAGAGCGCACAACACGCTGCAGTCTCTGTTTGTCCCTGATAGTGGCTCCAGCGTACCACACGGTGATGGAGGAGGTGAGGATGGACTCGATGATTGCAGTGTAGAACTGCATCATCGTCCGTGTTGGCAGGTTGAATTTCTTCAGCTGCCTCAGGAAGTACATCCTCTGCTGGGCTTTCTTGATGACGGAGGTGATGGTGGGCTCCCACTTCAGGTCCTGGGTGATGGTGGTACCCAGGAAGCGGAATGAGTCCACAGAGGTGATGGGGTGTCAGTCAGGATGATGGGGGGGAGTGGGGCTGTGTGCTTCCTGAAGTCCACAATAATCTCCACTGTCTTCTGGGCATTCAGCACCAGGTTGTTGTGGCTGCACCAGGTACACCAGACGTTCAACCTCCCTCCTGTAGGCAGACTCATCCCCGTCCGAGATGAGCTCCAATACGGTGGTGTCATCTGCGAAACTTGATTAGCTTGACAGACTGGTGGGTGGAGGTGCAGCAGTTGGTGTACAGGGAGAAGAGCAGAGGAGAAAGAACACAGCCCTGAGGGGAGCCAGTGCTGATGGTCCGGGAGTCCGAGACATTCTTTCCCAGCCTCACGATGCTGCTTCCTGTCCGTCAGGAAGTCAGTGATCCACCGGCAGATGGGATCAGGCACATTCATCTGGGAAAGCTTGCCTCGGAGATGGTCTGGAAGGATGGTGTTGAAGGCAGAGCTGAAGTCCACAAACAGGATCCTGGCGTAGGTTCCTGGGGAGTCCAGATGCTGCAGGATGTAGTGTAGGGCCATGTTGATGGCGTCGTCTACAGACCTGTTGGCTCTATATGCAAACTGCAGGGGGTCCAGGAGGGGGGCGGTGAGGGTCTTGAGATGGGAGAGAACCAGGCGCTCAAATGACTTCATGACCACAGATGTCATGAGCATGGTGGGTGACACTGGAGATTCAGGAGAACAGCGAGAACCATGGCTAGTACAGTGAAGATCAGACAGGACCAATCAGACAATATCACGTATGTTATGCAGTCAATACAAGGAAAAAAGTAAAAGTAAATCTATAAATTTCACTTCAACAGGTCCCGCGATGGTGGAAGATGGTTTGACTTCCAGTGACAGGTTTCTTTCTTGGTCTTTTTATATCCTGTCTTTTTCAAATAAAGTTTTTCTATTAAATGTGCTTTAAGTTGTGGAAAATCTTTCTTTAAACTGTGAATGGCAAGTAGAAGTAAAGATGAGGGCAGCTGCGAATGAGACCTCTCAGTCTTTTGCTTTCTGATTGGCTGACTTCCACCCCCACACCCCCAACCGCCACTTCCCCCCTTCAGCTACAAGTGCAACAAGTGTTGCAAAAGTCAAAGCATAGAATATGTAAATATGTGCAGTTGAGCACTTGTATTCACTGATTTAAGAGCTCACAGAGCTGTGTTTGTAAATATTAAAATAATAAATAAACATGAATAAAATGTGAATACAGGTTTAGAGATTTAAACTGTAACTGTAATTTCAAATTTGTGTGAGAAATTTTACAAATGAAAATTTCAAAATACAAGTTTAAATTTTTAACGAGTTTGTTCAGACTATTGAAGGAAAATCATAAACAGCGAAACAAATAGTCTCAGGTTTTTTTCTCACTGTAGCTCCTGTTTCCCTGTCATGATGATCACTGAGACTTTATGAGAATCCAGCTCCTTGTTAATCTGTCATCAGTCATACAGAGCTCAAAAAATGGAGCACCTGGATCAGAGTACAGTATTACATTTCTGGGATACTCATCTGGTCAGTTGTGTGGGGGGTGTTAATCAGGGGGAAACAATTGGCTGACTCTATCCTCATCTTTTCAGAGAGTTTTTTCCACTAGTTTTGATTTGGCGAGGCTCAGTGTCACTATGGGTAGCATGAGGCGATACCTGGACTCTACCATTGCCTGAGGGTTTGCTGTGTCTCCCAGCACAGTCTCAGGAGCATGGAGGAGATTCTAGGAGACACACAGCTACTCTGGATAGTTGAACAAAAACTTTTTAAACAGTCAGCAGCAACAGTATCTGGATGAACACTGCCAATCCCTTACAAAATGACCTTCAGCAGGCCAGTGGTGTGAAGGTCCAATTGTCATTTATGTTGTTTGTATCATCGTTCTACATAACCATTTGGGTACTGTGCCAGTAATGATCTGGGAAGACAAATCAATGAATGGATTGCATAGACCTCTACAGGCTAGGCAATGGCACCCTGACCACCATTAGATACTGGGATTAAATTGTCTTAACACATTATTAGACACTACACTGGTGCAGTGGGCTCTGACTTCCTTTGACAATGCATGACAATGGCCTCCCTCATTTATTAACAGTAGTTCATCCTTTTGGATGGAGGAAATAATATAATGCACTGGGCTCCACGCTTGCCTTATCTAAGTCCAATAGATCATCTGCTCAGTACTCAATTTTCTGAAGGGTCAATTACTACAGACCTCCAAGCTTCATGTGGCCTTCAGATTAGCTCAAGAACAAAGAGCTTAATCGGAAAGGTTTCCATGAATGAGGACCTACATCTAAGCTTTACATAACCAAGCACAACACAAAGTGTTGGATAAAAATAAAGCATGCTGCCACTAAACTCTAAAGCAGTGAAGATGTGGTATCTGGAGTGAAGAGTCATGCCTCTCCATTTGGCAGTCTAATGGGCAAGTCTGGGTTTGTTGCCAGGAGTTAGTTGTCTGACTGCACCGTGCCGGGTGTAATGGTTGGTGGAGGGGGGGATCATGGTGTTGGGTAGCTATTCAGGACTTGGGCTGGGACCCTTAATTCCAGTTAAAGGAACTCTTAATAATTTAGGATACCAAAGTATTCCAATTTCAAGCCCCAAACTTTGTTCCAACAGGAGTGCACACCAGTGCACAAAGCGGTTTGGAGTGGAAGAACTGGACTGGCCTGCATATAGACCTGGGAATGAGTTAGAGTGGAGATTGCAAGCCAAGTATTCTCGTCCTTCATCAGTGACTCACATCATAAATGCACTCCTGGAAGAATGCTAAAACATTCCTATAAGCACACTCCTAAACCTTGTGGAAAACCTAATCGATTAAGAATGGGATATCATATGTATGTGAAGTCCGACAAGCAAATGCTTTTGACAATATAGTGTATACTGTGTCATATATCAAAACTCAAAAGAAAGCACCAATACCTGTCGTCATAAGATGGAAACATCATGCTACACACCTTAGAGAGTACCAACTCTTGTTCTTACATTTGGGAACGATATTAGGTAAAGAGTTTAAGAAATAAATCCAAGAACTTTGAACGTTTCTATTTTGCACACAACCTCAACTGAAATAAAAACTGTTTAAAAATAACATTTCATTCAGTTTGGAGAGTACAGACTCTGAGTTTCATTTTGTTAGAAATATATCCAGCTGTCTCCAACGATACCTTGGTGTCCTTTTTATATGAATAGATCCAGTCATCTACAAACTTGAATTACTCATTTGGTATTAAATTCCAGGCTGCAGGTGTCAGGTATCTCACTCGACTTTTAAGTGTGTTGGTGTTGCACTTCAGGTTCAGGGTCAGAAACAGCAAAAGATCGTGTGTGTGTTGTGTGTGTGTGTTTTGTCTTAGGGCAGATTATTCATGAAGAGACAAATAACAATGAAAACATATTAAAGGACCAGGAAACAGTTGTGTTTTCTTTATATTTACATCAGTCTAATTGAAATATACACAACAGTGTTATAGCAAACTATGACGTAAGTGTGTGTGTGTGTCTTTGTATGTCTCTCTGAGTCTGTGTGTCTATTTGAGAGAGACAATGAGAGAGAGGAAGGGGTGATGAAAACAATCTTAGGGTGTCATATACAGTCATTGCTATATATGGTACAAATCAGTAGTGGATCACTGGAAAATTTGACACACAGACACACAATTACATGGACTCTCACCCAAACACACATATGCACACAGACAGGAACAAATATGAAATAAACTCTAAAAAGGTGTCATGAGAACAAATTCAATGCTTTTACAATGGTGCAATCTTTGGTGCGATGGTTTGTTGGTTCAAAATTAAATGGTGGTGGATTTGGAGAACAGAGAAGACCATCTTGGATGAACACAGCTAATGGAATACAGTGAACTTTGGAAATGGAAACAATGGAAAACTTTGAACTATTTCATGTCTAAAATGATATTTCTTGAACTTTAGTTGAGAAAGAAAAAAGGGAGAAAGAATGCTGATACAGTAAACACAAACAGTTCATCACAACATTTGTCAGGAGCAAATAATATATTCACATCATCAACCACATTATGACGAATAAGTCCTGGTACTGAACAAAGGATGCTTGGCTGAGATCAGTCCAGTCCTGCTCAAGCACAGTGTCTTCAGTTTGTTGTTTCTCCTCTACAGAGAGCAATCCTATCTTGATAGACCCTGATGTGACAGTATTTCCTACTGGCTGTACTCTTCTGGCTTCCAGTTGTGTGATGTTTGGTACCGACATTAGCCAGTTCTAACATAAACTGGTCTTAACATGCAGCTTAACTTGAAACTCAATATTCCTTGCTAATTAGTAGGCAGACCCACCGGATGTTACCGTTTCATTTTATTTGTTCCACCCTTGCCAGTGTGTGCATCACATGACAAAGTGGGTGGGTGCACCCTTCACTTCTGCCATTACTCGTTTAGTAGGGTCTCCAGACAGCTTCAGCAGGAGCCATGTTTGTTGGTGAGCTACTGTGACTGGACTCCACCTCCGCACCCACCCCTTCGTTCTGACTGGGTAAAGAGGGGTGCAGGAGGGAAGAACCTGTGGAGGCATTGGTGCATGGTGGCAAGATCCTTGGTGGTGAGCGTGAATCACTGCTGCCTGCTCCGCTTGTCATCATGGAGAACTGGTAGGAGCCAGCGGCAGTGGAGTAGTAGAGATATGGTGAGGAGGTGGACTGGAAGGGCCCGTTCTGAGCTTGGGGTGCATTTGCAGGATAGGGTGGAGGCAGGTAGGTGTGGTACCTCCCTGCAGGGGTGGTGGCCATGGCTGTTGCCATTGTGATACCGAGTGCACCATTGGAGACTGGATTGTGGGATGGGGTGTAGGTAAAGGCAGCTGCAGTGGGAGGATAGTGCACCCGGGGATCAGAAAAACGTGAGTCAGGCAAGGAGGGCAGGGAACTGAAAGGCCGTTCTAAGGTCATCCTTGGGTCACCAAAGGCAGTGAGCTCAGAGCCTGAAAGAAGACAAAGGTTGATTGTTACAACTTAATCACAGTGTTCCCTACGTGTGTCACCACGCATAGGTTTGTTACCTGTTAGTCGAGAGGACAGGTCACTGAGAGAAGAACGACCAGGTGATAGAGAATTAGCCGTGGGAACAGTGGGTGTAGTTATCTGGCCAAGATAAGGATACGATTGATCGTAAGACCATGATGGTGATGACTGCATCTGTCTGGAATCTGAAAGAGACAAGACAGGAGAAAGGGACTGTGAGTGAAAATACATGTAATATATAATCACTGATACCTTTGGAGCAGTAAAATGTTTCAAGAAAGGCTTATTCCTTCAACAGTGCTAGTTTCAGTTACTGTGCAAATGTACTGTATATAAGGTTGGAATCCCGCAGTCAGCTGAGACTGAAGAAGTCATCTGGATGAAACGTTTCTCCCACTGAAAACGCTACGTCCAGATGAACAGGAGGTTCAAGAAAAGTTTTTTTCACATGACTTTTTCCTGTGCTACTGACACTCCCAGTTTATGTTATGTTGCATGTGGGTGGGGTGATTAGCACTGTTTCTATTTAGTGAGAAGGTCCTGAGTTTGATTCCACCCCCAGGTTTTTCTGTTTGGAGTTTGCATGTTCTCCCGTGTTCGCGTGGGTTTTCTCCAGGTACTCCGGCTTCCCCCCACAGTCCAAAGATTAGCAGTTGGGGTTAGGTTATCTGGTAATTCTAAACTGTCCATAGGTGTGAATGTGAGTATGAATGGTTGTCTGTGTTAGCTCTGCGGCAGGCTGGCGACCTGTCCAGCCCTATGACAGCTGGGATAGGCTCCAGCCCGACCCTGACAAGGATAAGTGGATGAGACTGGATGAATGTTGAATGTGACTATTAAAAACTTCAAAGCCACACTTTAAAGAAATGTTCATGTTCAAAGTAGCCATTCATTTTACCCCAATCTCTCCCTTCCTAATTATGTCCCTCCATCTATTTTCTTACAACGTTAATTATGTCTTCCTTACTCTGTTGTTGGGGCTGCAATTAAGTCAAAACTCTTACCTCAGGATTGAGGACTGGTATGATATGTTCGTGCTGAAATACTGTGTTTTTTTCCTTTCACCAAACAAGCCAATTTGGCCAAACATATCCACATTAGACTTGTATATCCAACATCGTCCCAGAAGTCTTGTGGCTTGCTCAGATGCCATTTTGCAAAGCTAAGGTTTTAGGGATACAAGGCTTTTGGCTGACAATGCTACCAAACAAGCCATACCTCTTCAGTTTTTTCTAATCAAAAGAAAAACATTGAAAGAAACCTGGAACTGATGAGCCTCTAACATTGATCTCTTTCTACCTTGGTGTTGCATTAAATCCCAAAGGAATACCCCACCGAGCAAACGACCAAAAATGTCTGCCTTTATAGAGGTGGGCACACTTGCAGATGATCATTTAATCATAACCATTTGATTAACATCTTCATGGAAGTAGTAATGGTGTGCTTGGTTTTTTATACACTGCTTCTGCATTTTGGCTTATTTTCTTTAGTAAATAAATAATAACACAGTGTAATATGTCACATTTTATAGTTTATCTGAGTTTGTATTAAACTAATGTTAAGACCTACTACAGACCACATTATTTTTTTACATGTTCTGAGATATAAAACTTTAGAATTTAATTTTAATTTGTTAACTATTACACTGAGAATTTGGAGTTACATTCATCATAATAAGCAACTGTTCTATGATAAGAAAAACTGTGTGGTACGACTGATTCAAGAAAAATAACTGTCCTGCTATACTGACATTAAATTAAGGGAAGAGGTTCATGTCAGTAACTCTTTAATCATAAACTAAACATCAAATGAAAAAAATAAAATTACATGACACTTCAAGAAATGATCATGTACGAGCTTAATAAATTAAATGATGCATTGCATCAGCTTGCATGAAACAATACAGAAGTCTTTCTAGATAATTGATTTTGGCTCCTGATTGTTTCTTTTTTTGAAGGAATTATGGACTGATGCCGCATACAAACAAAAATCGCCCTTCTTACAGCTTTATTAGAAAGGTGGAGTGAAGACTGACAGGAAAGCAGAGGGGGGAGACATGGCAACGGGCCATGGGTCGGACTCAAACCTGGGCTGGCCACTCTCAGCCATGCAGCATTTGATCACCTGCTTATCCAACTGAGCTCAACCAGCACCCTGTTTTGACATTTACTTGCTTTGTTTATTTCAAGGCTTTTACCAAGGCTACTGGCTCATGGGTGGCTCCTGGTTAGTATTTAATGAAGTGGCAGGACAGTGTATTTCCACCTCCAACTTGTGGTGGTATTCTGTACCCAGAGCTTAAGTATGGAGGCTTGTTCTCTGGATTTTCTCCCAGTCACTCACAAATGGAATTGGTTGGGTTGGCATGGGTTTTCACACTGGTATTGATGGTAGTCCCATGAGTTAAAGGGCTATCTGCCTGTATCAGTATTAGTAGATCCTAACCTTTCACACAGTGAGGATACATCTGAGCATTCCTGGTGCTATAAGAGGCAAACTGGGTCTTAATCAGCCCAACAGGTAATATTTGTGGGCAGTGGAAGACTTGAAAATTGCAGCTATGCAGACAAAGTATGTAAAGATATATAAAGCTTTTTTACACAACACGTGTTAATTCTAACTCTGTATTTCTTGGACTCACTTTGTCAAGTCTTAACAAAATGATCAAGTCTTGAGCTGTTTGAGGTCCAAAAGACTGGCAGGAACAGGAACTTTGAAATGCCTGTAGAAAAGCCAGTTCAGCATCAGAGTCCTTTGTTTTTAATGGTCCTATATGATCTCTTCAAAGGTTTTGTAACGATAAAGGCACTGATCCTATTAGAAGGCCATCTGTAAGGAAGACCATTGATCATTGATCAAAGACCACTGATCAATATCCATGGGTCCCATTCACAGAGAGTTGGGGAATGGCTGCAATCACAGCATGTAAGATGGTGTACGACGCTTACAAATGTGGATTGCACAACACTGGACATTATATTTCTTCATTTCCATTTAATACTTGTACAGCTGCTGTTACTGTATATATATATATTTATATTTCTTCATACATTCTTATATATTTCTAAACTTTATATTGTGTATTTTGTTGTAGAGTTATTTTATTTTCAACTTTAACTCATATATTTTATCTTATTCTTTCCCAGTTAAATTTACCCTTCATTCTAATTTGTGTTGTACAGTTATTTCATTTTTAACTTTAATTTTTATATTTTATTTTATTTTATTCCTTCCTAGTTAAATTTACCCTTTTAAATTTTCATATTTATTTCCTATCTTATTCATAGCCTTTTCATTTTTCTTTAGGTCACAAGCAGTTGTCTAAGCATTTCACTGCATATCGTACTGTGTATGACTGTGTATGTGACAAATAAAATTTGAATTTGAATTTGATTTGATGACAGATGTACCCTTAGGCCCCTCCTCGATTCAGAGATGGTCTTTCCCTTTTCACGTAAATGGCCTCCTTGACTCCACCCTCAAACCAGCGTTCCTCCCTGTCCAGGATGCTACATCCTCATCCTTGAAAGAGTGTCCACTGGCCTGTATGTGTAGGATAGACTGCAGAGTCCTGGCCTGACAAGGCGGTAAATGGTAAATGGACTGATTCTTATACAGCGCTTTTCTACTCTCTACTCTCCCAGAGTACTCAAAAAGCTGTATACAACATGCCTCATTCACACCCACTCATACAGGCACTTCTAAACTCAAGTGCAACTAATTAACATTCACACACATTCACACTCCGATGAACGCATCGAGGAGGGTGGGCCAATTGGGGTTAGTATCTTGCCCAAGGATATTTGGCATGCAGACTGGGGAGCCAGGAATCGAACCACCAACCACCCAATCAGCAGCTGATCTGCTCTACCACCTGAGCCACAGCCACCCCACAGCTGTTCTGTTTTGTGCCATCCGCTTCACCAGAGGTTGTTTGGTTTCCCCCATGTATAAATCCTGGCAATCCTCCTGGCACTTAACAGTGTACACTATGTTAAGGATTTCCCAGGTTGCAGAGTTGCGTTTCCAATTCACTAAGCCTGGCCTCCAGAGCTGCAAATAGGCTACATTTCTCACAAATATTTGTAAAGGATGCTGAAGAGTAGCTATATGTCTGACATGCTGAGCAGGAAAATGTGGGAGGGACAAGTAAAGAAGCCACGCTGCCAGTGACTTGGCTATGAGCTAAGGTAGCGAATACCTAAAGACAAAATGAATGAATACTAGAAACTTATCAGCTGGTTCAGTGGCGTGTGCTTTGGATAAGGCACGTAAAGATGAAACTATGTGATAAGTCATTATCTGAAGGTTTAAATTAAATTGGCTACACAAAATACCACTGTGCATTTAACAGGAACTGGAAGTGATACAATAGCGCAGAGAGAGCCAACAACACAAATGTGTAATAAGCTGCCATTTCAAATGTAACGGAGATACAGCTACGTGCATGTTTGTTTATTCACAGCATGGAGAAATTATAGATGTGAAAGAAAGGAAGACAAATTAGAAATGAACGCTTGGTGGGGTTAGTGAGAGCGACAGGTTGTTCAGAGAAGAAAGGGCGAGGAAAAAGTAAGTTAACTGCTGAACGTTGATTTTTTTCTTCATTTTAACAGGGTCCATGACAGTAGGAAGCACTTAGAGATCACCTCTGTTTCTTTTTCACTCAGTGTACACACACCTCTTCTGCTACTTTACATCTCCGCTCATTGTCACAGCTTGAAAATACATGAAAGAAATATCAAACTGTTCATAGAAAGCAATCATCCACCACAGTCACATTACCTCCATGCCTCCATGCCATGCTACAGTACAGTTGTTTTAAAGGTAGTAAGAATGTTATAACAGGAATCCAACAAATGTATTTTTTTTGCGTATTTGAACTTAAGGTTCCTTAAAACAGGTTCGTTTTGAGCAATGTTATGATGTTTGGCTGCTTAGTTATCTGGAATTTTACTTTGAGTTTTATTCCTTTTAACATATTTTTAAACAGCACAAAAACAGTTCAGTTGATTCACTTCTGAACTGTTTCAGCTGGAAGGGGCATTTAAGCTACATATGGCAGCTGTAGTATGCGAGCTTTTTCTTTTTAGTTTGTGACAGTTACATACAATTTTTTTCTCTCACAGTAGCACTTCCTGCTAGCTGACTCTCATTTCCTCCTTAAGATGCCAGTTGTGTCCTCACACACACACACACACACACACACACACACACACACACACACACACACACATATATTTAAATGCACACATAAGTAGGAACTGACATTCTGTGTCACCTCCACTGAAGATGAGGAGAAACAAATACTTTCTTTCGGTACAACATAGAGCATCCATGGAGAAGATAACAGATCTCATTAACTAAAGCCACAAGAAGATAAATGACACACAAATGCCTGTTATCACTAGAAGCGGAGTTAAATGGACTAGCTTTTCTTTTCCTTCTTTTCCTGGGTTGCTGATCGAGGATTTTGAGCTTTGGCATTTTTGGTGGTTGTCTTGTTTTTATGATTATTCTTGGTTCTTATTTCTGTCTATGGGTTTTGGATTATTCCTGTCATCTGTGCCTTTAGTTGGTTAGCAGTTATAGTTTCTCTTCGTGTTCCCATTCTCTTCCCTTGGTCTTGTCTCCATGATTTGTCTTCTGTCCCTGTGTCAAGCTTGTTTCTTAGTCTTGGTCTCAGTGCTACTTCCAGTTTTATTCACTTGTCCTGTGTGTGGCATATTCAGTTTTGCTTCCCCTGTCTTGTTACTCCTGATTTGTCCCTGATGTGTTCCCAGCTGTCCCCACTTCCCTAACAACTGTCCAATATTGTGTCCGAGTCTCCCTTTGATCTTTGTTCGTGTTCTCCCTGGATAGTATGATTTCCTGTAGACAAATTTGGACTCATCAGCCCAAATCCCCGTTAGTTAACGCAGATCGCCTCGTGCGAGGGCTGTATGGCGTGAACGTGTTGGCGCGGCTAGCTCGTTAATGCGTTGATGCATTAACGAGCGTCATCTGGACCAAGTATCCGTCGCCTTCGCCAATGCTGGTCCCCTACCAAGCCTCCAGAGGTGTTCCATTGACTCCACCTTCACCGATCCCCGGTGTGTCCGGTACAGCCATCTGATGGGGTCTGTCAACTCCACTGCCTATGTGGACCTCCAACCCAGCTTAAGGGAGTCTGTCACTCTAATCACCTTACAGCCATCTGAGAGCTTCCTTCGATGCTGTCCTCCATCCAAACCACCGGAGAGGCTCTGCTGCAGTCGCTGGAATCCAGTCTTTGCCACCATTGTCAGCCTCCAGTCCTGTTGCTCAAAGGTTTCTGACACCACAGTTGGCGTCCAATAAATCATCGCCGGAGTAAAAAATAGCCTCCTGCCATATAACTGGATTGGCCACATCTCCTCAAACACTGTTACCCATGATGCCCCCTCAATTCCTTTCTAAATTGTTGGCCTCCAAGGCAGACCTCCTCAATGCCTGCCTGTAGACCTTGCCTTATGGCCAAACCAGCCACTCAAGCTGCTGCAGCCTTTCAGACTAACCTCTTGGCCAGGCCAACTCCCTCATTATCTGCTTTTTTTAGATCTGCTTTTGGTTCTGTTACTGTTCGCATTGTCCCTCATGGCTGTGTCGTCCCTTGCACGTCACTTTGCAGTATGAATGTAACAGCAAGATAATCGACTTCTGCCGCAGTAGACTTTAGATAGCTGCTTTGTACTGTTTTGGCACATGGTATTGAAAAGTGTAAAAGTAGAGGAATTATGTCCTTAAATTTAGTTACAGCACTTTCCAAAAGACACTCTGCTGTAATGAAATGTATTCCCACTACTGTGTAATCCATTACTGTAAATTTAAATATTAGGAACTGATCGAATGAGCAAGATCTTGCATGGAGCTTCAGAAAGAGACACCACTGACTTTCCCCAATGCTCCCCTGACCTAAATCTAATGTTTAATCCTCTGGGACATTATCGTTTGCTCCATCCAACACCACCAGGTTGGACGTCAGGTCGTCCAGACTGTTATACCCTTGTCCAGATGTGGGATGAGATCCCCTAGGAGATGATCTGTAGTCTCAACAGGAACATGCCCGTGACACATGGCAACCTATTGACTACCATTTTCAACTGCTGCAATGAAATTTCGGCAAAAATTTTGTCTTTGACTTTTGGAGTGTCTTTGAATTCAGCCCTCTGTAGGTTGATCATCTTCATTTCCATCAAACATACCCAGTCCATATCAGTATAGCCATCCAGTATGATGTTTTTTTTCCCTTTACAATCCGAAGTGTTCATTCATATGTGTACTTAAGTCACTCAGTGACATGCGAATCAATTTATAACGTTTATGAAATGTGGTTTTTCTGAACTTTGGGTTGATATGCTATCTGTCTTGATTAAAATTAGATATTGGTCATTTCTTTGTGAGCAAACTTATAAATTCAGCAGGGAATCAAATAATTATTTATGTGGCTGTATTTTAATCATATTCTTAACCAGTGTTGGTCAAGTTACTTGAAAAAAGTAACTAGTAATTAATTACTGATTACTTCCCCCAAAAAGTAATCCTGTTACTTTACCTATTACTTATTTTCAGAAGTGATTAGTTACTTAGTTACTTTTTAAAACATGATTTACAACCTGAATAGGTGATAAATCGATAGATCTTTCAGCCCAATTCTACTTTTTCTGCATAATCCATCATACAAAATGTAATCAACTGGAAAAGTTAGTTAGTTTTAATCTTTTAACTTTATGCATCAAGCAAACATTAAATTATCTGCAACATTCTCTGACTGGGAGAAATTTGTTTAACATTTAAACCTGTTTTCTGTCATTCCAGCACATAAAATAAAATATTTTTTGTGTTAACACTCAGTCTTTTAAATAGAATGAAGTAAAACACAGCAGAAAATAAATAAAATCAAAGACTCAGTGGTCCTGTTGCTCTATTTACACCTGTTTAGCAGGAATGAGGCAGGCGGAGGTTTACCCTGGTGCAAGTGTGCCGCAGCAGTCAGTGGAAGGATACGGCAGTTTCTCTGTGAATGGCACATTCCAGCGGCAGCGTATTTGGCGTTTGCTCGGAAGTTTAGGGGTTTTTTTGCTGTAAAAAGAAGTTTTCTTCCCACACAGTGAACAGAGGACGCAAATGTTTTTGTCACTTTTTATGGAATCAAACTCCAAGTAAGGTCAGCACTTCCACGCTTTAAATGCTGCACACTCAAACTCGCTGCCGCACTTGTTATATGATCCACTGTTGATCACAGCTGTTGTCACGAACGTCGCACACGCTTACATCACTGTCATGAGACACTCTCACAAAAAAATCACGGTTTTAGTAACACAGTAACGCAACATGCTTAATGACCTTTTTTGCAACAGTAATCCCTTACCTTAGTCGTTACTTGACAAAAATTTATTGGATTACCGTAACGCGTTGCCCATGTCTGTTCTCAACACAAATGATTAAGAGATTAGAGTTTGGATTTTTTTTCCCCCTTAATCATAAACACCTTCATTTAGAAAATGCATTTTGTGTTTCCTTTTTTTTGTCTACTATTTAAATTTGTTTAATGAGCTGAAACATTAAATGTGACAAACATATATAAAAAAAGTAAATCGGGAAAAGGACAATCCCTATTTTCAAACCAGTATATACAGTGTGAAGACCTGGATGTAGTGACCCACTTGGATCCAACTTAGTTTTCTTTTGAAGAGTTGAGAAGTTCATGTGTGTCTTTCCTTTGATCTAACGTGAAATAAACCCAGACCCACTTCACAATCGTTGATGGTCATTTCTCTGCCCATGGTGATAACAACTTCATCTCACCTTCAAACTTGCTATTTAACACTGACACATAGTACAATGAACCTGGGTCTGGTTGAAAAACAGCTACTATATCCTTTACACCTACATCAGGAAAGCTGGATGACTGTCATGGATATGGATCCACATTAAAGGGGCATCAGTTAATGAAAATGGTGATATATATAACAGTTGTACAGTTGTGGACAGGTAGGAACATGAGTGACTGATTTGAAGGACATAAACATCCTTACCAGGAGTTATCTGAGTGTGCGTGGGGCTGGAGAAAGCGGCAGAGTTGAGAGTTGGAGGTTGGCGACTGTTGGCTGACGATTGATGATGGTGATGAGGAGGTGTCACCCTCATGGAGCTCCTTCTCAGCTGTTCCAGTTCTGTTAGCCTCTCAGAGAAAGCCAGGGAGCCTGGTTTGACTTCGTCCATCTTCTGACGATGACCTGAGGCAGAAAGTTAAGAGGAAATCGTTAGAATTTCAAGTATCACTCCTGAGCTCAAAATTCCTGAAATTTATTGAGTTGTCAGCAAAGCACTCCATGCTTGTGATGTGATTACACTGTGTGTATGTGTGGCTGCACTTTAAAGCTCTGATACTGAGCTCCAGTTACAGGCACTTCCTCACAACAAGGGAAGTGTGCATTTGTGTATTTATACTGTGTGTGCATGGGTGAGTTATAGATGAGTGATGGGTATTCACAGCTAAGCAGATTTGACAAGTGCTCCTGTTGTTTTGTTACTTCTCCTCTTGTTCTGACCAGTTTCACTTTGTTCATGTCATATGGAAGTGAAGTGGACTAATGTTATTTTAATGACACTTATTAGCATATATTAGAAGAAACACGTCTATCTTCTTTCTTCTCCCATTCGTAAGCCTAAAGAAATCCCCGTGTTTCATCATACTCAGTGGGAGAGGAAGTAAGTGTTGCATCAGGTTCCCCTTATGAAAATACTCAATTGAAAGTTTGTCTGCAGGGGTGCGTCTTCACTGAGTATGCAGTTCACAAAATAAAATAAAATTGATGAAATGATGACATTAAATAAAACATATTATCCTAAGAAATTGTTAATAATATTATTATAATTCAAAGTGTTTATTGTCATGTGTACAGAAGAAATAGCATTTCTCTGTGCAATGAAATTCTTCCTTTGCTGTCCATACACAAATGCCAAGTAGGTAGGGTTGGAGGAACAAGATAAACAAGGATAACAATAAGACAAGATATTAGATATATAAAGATAAAAATAAGGATAAAAATAGTGAAAGTTAAATAAATAAGTACAAAAATAAGTAAGTGAAGACAAGTGAGGTATGCAGATGTAAATGGATGTACAAAGGAGCTCAATGTGCAAAATAAAGTTAGTGTGCAAAGTGTACTGATGTGCAAATTGCAGTTGAGGTAGGTCAGCTGTTGTTGAGTCGGGACAATTAAAATGGCATGATATAAATGCAGCCTAGCACCAAATACAGTAAAAAGGTCTTACATTTGGTAGGTCGACCTTTTGTAATAAACTAAATAAAAAAAGTTGTTTTTTATTGGTGAGTCTAATGTGTTGTTAAAAGGAAACCCTTTAAACAATGGCACATCAGAAGTTTGTTTTTTAGTTTTCAGGTTCATTTATTATTACCATGCCTTGTTCTGCGAGCCCAATAAACAATGCCAAAATACAAACTGGATTCCAAAAAAGTCGGGACACTAAACAAATTGTGAATAAAAACTGAATGCAACGATGTGGAGATGGCAAATGTCAATATTTTCTTCAGAACATAAATCACGGAAGAAAAGTTGAAACTGAGAAAATTTATGATTTTAAGGGAACAATATGGTGATACAAAATGTCATGGTGTCAACAAATCCCCAAAAAGTTGGGACAAGGCCATTTTCACCACTGTGTGGCATCTCCCCTTCTTCTTACAACACTCTACAGACGTCTGGGGACCGAGGAGACCAGTTTCTCAAGTTTAGAAACAGGAATGCTCTCCTATTCTTGTCTAATACAGGCCTCTAACTGTTCAATCGTCTTGGGCCTTCTTTGTCGCACCTTCCTCTTTATGATGCGCCAAATGTTCCCTATAGGTGAAAGATCTGGACTGCAGACTGGCCATTTCAGGATCCTTCTCCTACGCAGCCATGATGTTGTGATTGATGCAGAATGTGGTCTGGCATTATCTTGTTGAAAAACGCAGGGTCTTCCTTGAAAGAGATGACGTCTGGATGGGAGCATATGTTGTTCTAGAACCTGAATGTATTTTTTTGCATTGATGGTGCCTTTCTAGACATGCAAGCTGTCCATGCCACACGCACTCATGCATACCATCAGAGATGCAGGCTTCTGAACTGAGCGTTGATAACAACTTGGGTTGTCCTTGTCCTCTTTGGTCCGAATGACATGGCGTCCCACATTTCCAAAAAGAACTTCGAATCGTGACTCGTCTGACCACAGAACAGTCTTCCATTTTGCCACACTCCAGTTTAAATGATCCCTGGCCCAGTGAAAACGCCTGAGCTTGTGGATCTTGCTTAGAAATGGCTTCTTCTTTGCACTGTAGAGTTTCAGCTGGCAGCGCGGATGGCACGGTGGATTGTGTTCACTGACGATGGTTTCTGGACGTATTCCTGAGCCCATTCTGTGATTTCCTTTACAGTAACATTCCTGTTTGTGGTGCAGTGTCGTTTAAGGGCCCGGAGATCGTGGGCATCCAGTATGGGTTTACGCCCTTGACCCTCACGCACAGAGATTGTTCCAGATTCTCTGAATCTTCGGATGATGTTATGCACAGTTGATGATGATAACTGCAAAGTCTTTGCAATTTTTCGCTGGGTAACACCTTTCTAATATTGCTCCACTATCTTTCTGCGCAACATTGTGGGAATTGGTGATCCTCTACCCATCTTGGCTTCTGAGAGACACTGCCACTTTGAGAAGCTTTTTTTATACCCAATCATGTTGCCAATTAACCTAATTAGTGTTAATTGGTCTTCCAGCTCTTCGTTATGCTCAAATTTACTTTTTCCAGCCTCTTATTGCTACTTGTCCCAACTTTTTTGGGATTTGTTGACACCGTGTAATTTTGAATCAACATATTTTTCCTTTCAAATGAAACATTTTCTCGGATTAAACTTTTGATCTGTCATCTACGTTCTACTCTGAATAAAATATTGACATTTGCCATCTCCACATCATTGCATTCAGGTTTTATTCACAATTTGTTTAGTGTCTCAATTTTTTTGCAGTCCGTTTGTACTTCACTTGGACATGAATGTCATGGTAATTCTTTGCTTTTAATAATTCTTTTAATTGTTTTTTTTTTCAAAAGTGGAATGATTGCACTGCATACATTTTTAGTGATTTAAAAAAATGAGAGGTGGGTTATCAAGTTTGACTTTATTTGGGATTTTCTCTGCTCACAGGTTCAAAGATGATTCTGACAGTTCACAGGGCTCTAGACTAACTTTTCGCCATGGTTGCACTGGTACGACTAACTTTTTTTCTTAGGCGCATCAGCACAAAAGTTAGGTGCACTCAAATTTTTGAGTGCACCTTAACACCACAGTTTTACATGTGCACTTTTTGGGGGGGAAATTGCAGTCCATATAGACAGTATTCATTTGTAAATGATTAACTAACAATTTTGTGCTTAAAGTGCTTTGGCACTCTTTGGCAATATTGTAGAAAATGTTCAACTTAATCATCATCTCGACCTCCTCTGACGACCTGTTTGCTGCTGCCTGCCGCTGAAAGGCAATGGTAGAGGGAACACTTGGGGAGTGCATTTATGACGACATATAATGTGTTTTCTGGATACACTGTGCTTTTTCAGCATTCAAAGATTGATGGCACTGTGTCAGAGCACTGGCTATGAATTTCAGAAGGATCAGGCCTTAACAAAAAAGTTATCAATAGTTCTTTTCATCTTTTCTTATTCCCCACAGCTACATCCACTTCTGTCAGGCCTAGGCTGCTCACTAGGGCTGGGTATCATCACTGATTTCTATAATCCATTCAATTCCGATTCACAAATCCTGATTCGATTCAATTTTGCCTCAGACAGTCAGAAATATTATAATTCTGATCATTTATCAGTACTGACTTTATCAGAATTGTGAACATCACAGCAGATGCTTTTGTGTGAAAGTAACTGAGAGTAAAACACAGAAGAACATGAAGGAGATTTTCCTGGCCTGGACTTTTATAGCAGATAACCTTAAAAATATTCTGCAATATTCTGCAATTTTGCATAGATTTAAAAAAGTTAAAATTTCTTCAGTATAGAACAGCAGAAACTAGGCTTTCTTATCCAAGGTCGTTAAGTAAAAAAAAAAAAGAAAAAGTGGCCGACAGCGCTGTAAACAACGGTAGACTGGTGGGTAATAAGCGAAAGAATAATGCAGAAAACAGAGATTTGAGATGGGAAACTGTTCTTGAAGTACACTGAGAGAGAGAGAGTTGTGCATGAAGTGATTTTTATCGTGGTGGAAGCAA